CACTTTACGCCTGTTCCATCACCCTGCTGGCCTGGCTGTTTTACATGAAGAAGTTGGCAGCGTCGCCAGCAGAGCAGAAGGTGGCTGCAGCGAGTCACAGACCGAAGTCTTCTCTGCTGGACCGTGCTGCACCCAGCGAGTGTCTGCCAGACTTGAGCCTCGCTAATTCTTCTCTCACACTACCAGAGCTTCACCACGTCTTCTTAACGTACAAACACTGCCGGAACTTCGTGGCCCTGCTGAAGCCCTCCCGGTGCAGCGAGGAGACGTTCCTCTTGCTGGCCATCAAGTCTTCCCCGATCAACGTGGACCGGCGGGCGGCCATCAGGAACACGTGGGGGAAGGAGATCTCCATCGGCGGCAGGCAAATCAGGCTGGTCTTCCTTCTGGGGCGCCCGGAGGCCAGGCTCCAGCTGCAGCCCCTGCACCAGCTGCTGGCCTACGAGAGCCAGGAGTTTGATGACATCTTGCAGTGGGATTTTGTTGACAACTTCTTCAACTTGACCCTGAAGGAGCTGCATTTCCTGCGCTGGTTCATGGAGGACTGCCTGCACGCCAGGTTTGTGCTGAAGGGCGACGATGATGTCTTCGTCAACACTTACAACATCGTGGAGTTCCTCCAGGAACTGGACCCTGAACAGGATCTCTTTGTTGGGGACGTGATCACCAACGCCCGGCCCATCAGGAACACCAAGGTCAAATACTTTATTCCAGAGTCCATGTACAGAGCCCCCTTCTACCCTCTCTATGCAGGCGGGGGGGGCTACGTGATGTCTAGGGAGACAGCGCGGCGCCTCCAGAGCACCGCAGAGCACATGGAGCTCTTCCCAATAGATGATGTCTTTGTGGGAATGTGTCTGGCAAAGATGGCAGTGACCCCAAAGAACCACTCTGGCTTTAAGACTTTTGGGATCCAGAGACCTTTCAATCCCTTTGATCCGTGCTTTTACAAAGGGCTGATGGTCGTGCACAAACTGAACCCCACCGAGATGTGGATCATGTGGACGCTGGTGAAGGATGACAGCATCAGGTGTGCAGTGTCAGTAACACACAGCTACAGAGTGGGCTGGAGAAGGAGCTCCCGATGAGCACAGCAGGATTGTGACTGGTGACAGACACAGGGCATTTAAACTGAAGATCAGGTTGTGGTAGTAACATGTCCTCTGCTAACAGGCTGTGCTTGAGCCATAGGGGGTTGTTGTGCACTGTCTTCTTCTATCGGTGGGTTGCTGAAGGAGTTGAGTTGTCAGGGGATGGGGCTGGTAGCTCCATGAGACATGGCACAGGAGACTTGGCTTGGTTCCTCCCAGCCAGACTGGAGCCAGGGGAAGTCACGACTGCCACCAGGACGTGAGTGAGGGGTCACCTGCTATGGAGGCTGCTGTCTGACTGCCAGCCACATCCAGTCTCATGCAGGAAAGCTGATGATGACTAATGAGGGACAGAGCACTTGAAAGTACTTGAAAGGGTTGAAGAAAAGCTGGTGCGTGCTGCTTAACACAGCACGAAGAGCCAAGGGACTGGGCTCTGGCTCAAACCCTCTGGATTTTACAGAAGTTTGTTTTACAGTTTTACTTGCACTGGAAACTTTTGCACAAACACTTTCTGACTGGGTTTGAGAGGAGCAGTGTGTCTTGAATGATCACGGTGGTAGTTACAGTGGCCATAGCTTTTCATGTTGTGTGGGAGGTGTTTGAGGTTTCATCGCTGTACTCTTGGGTATAAATAAAATACAGTTTTGAAAAGTGCTTTCACAGGAGTATTCATGGGTCTCCTGAAAGCTAAGAGAACTAAAAGGCTGAGATCTGGTGCTGGGTATTTGCATTGAGGAGTTACTGATATTAAAGAGGGTAAGGTCAGTATCCTCTTTAGTAAATCGTTAAAAGTCTAAAAAATGTAAATCTAAAATCATTAGAGGATTTTTGTCAGCAGAAACTTGTCAGTTCAGTGCTGTGAGCAGCTGCTGGTCTCTGCCCTGCCCAGACAGGAGGTGTTGAGGCAGAAGTGATTAATCCACGGGTGCGCTGGAGTTGCTAATGTGAGGAAAGATGAAGTCCAAAGCTCAGGTTCTGTGATACCTCAGTGAAGGTTCAGCTTTGGGGTGCCCTGCTGCTGGACGGGCACTGCTTTGCTCTGTGGGTGAGAGGCAGCAGCCTGGGAGCCCCGGGAGAAGGCAGCGGGTGGAGAGGAAGTGTGTGATTGCAGCCAGCAGAGCGAGGGGTGTCTGCTGCTGCCACTGCTGTCCCCAGTGCCAGCTGCCCTCCGGCCACTGCCCACCAGATGTGAGCTGGAGCTTTCAGAGGGCCTTGTGGGTACTAGAGCCAGACCCAGGCCGTGCCAAGAGCAGAGGTGTGCCAGCTCTGCCTTCCAGCGGGGCGGGCGGCTGGACGCCCACCCTCAGCCTCATCTGTGCAAGCTGCTACTGTGTCCTCTCCCTGCAGCCCCAGCGGGCACTAATGAGCTGTCCTGGGGGTACCCTGAGTACAGGTAGTTTCAGGTACATGGGCTTTGTAATCACAGCTGAGTGCCAGGAGCAAAGCTGAGTTCCTGGGCACTGCTCTCTGGGCACCACGGCTCATTCCGGAGAGCTGGGACGCAGCGGGTACCGTGGTGCCCTGTGCACTGCTGGGGCAGCATTTTTCTGATCCACTACATGATTCCAAATGCAAACTCAGTAACATAATGTAGAGTGTGATGTCATGTCTGTCGTGGGCTAAACCCCCACAGGCAACTCTTGCTTCCTAATAATGGTGTAGGGCTTCCCCCCTTCCCATTTTAGGGGCAATCTGGAGCCACTCCTGCTCCTCCCTCCCCTTTGAGCTTGCCTGAACTGGCTGTTGGGTCCTGTCAGGTCTGAAGTCAGTTGTGTGTGAGTGCAGCCATGTCTTGGGAAGCAAGGGCAGAGCGTACAGTGAAACAAGAAGTGGGGCAGCCAGGGGTGGGAGCAGGCTCTGAAAGGGGAAGAATGAGTCACTTTGCTGAGTCCTGTCACCCTCCTCATGTGGCTTAAGCTGTTTCTCAGCCATACAAGCACCCGAGTTACTGTGGCATCCTGACTGTACGTGCATCTGGGTCAGTGGTTTTGGAGAGGTTCTTCAGCTGCAGCACGTAACAAATTGGAGCAGTTGTGTTTAGAGGCCAACCTGAAGTTGCCTTTGGCTCTTGAGGGTGTGGTTGTGCTGCTACAAATAATCCTCTCATGATGGTGGATTTTTTTTCCTAATGCTCCAGCCCAAAGTTGTGTTTGGGCCCTCCTGACTGCTGGCAGAGCAGACACTGGCACCTCCTGTGAGCCTGAATTCCAGACTGTGCCACCCTCCTTGGATACAGCAGCGCCCAGCGAGGGGCAGGAGCAAAGAAAGGTAGTTTGTGAATTCCTTTACTATTTAATCTATAACATAGAGGCAGCTGAGATGGCATTTGTTCAAAGGACAGGCCAATGTGACACTGTTCCAAGGCTTTATGCTACAGCTGAAACAATTCCTAGTCAAGCACAACTCAGGTCAGTAACAGCAGCCTCAACACAGAGGCAGTGCATGAGATGCTAAGTTGTGGTGGCAAAACCTATCATTAATGTGTGCTCTCTTACAAAAGCTGGTGAATGGGGATTAACTGACTCAGATCAGCAGTGATAAAGTTGTAGCAAGTGCTACTCTACAAAGCAATCTCATCTTAACTTTACGTTGTCTATACAGTTAATATTGCAGATTTCACCTCAAGCTGTTAGAAAATGATCCCTGTGAGACACCCCTGGCTTTGAAGCCTGCAATGAAATATTAAGCTTGCAAAAAGAAAGAATTAAGATGATTTTCCTGAAACTTGTGCTGGAAAGCACTTTAGGATTTGAAACCTGCGTTTGCTCGCTGCTTTGCAAAGAAGCACACAGCAGCTGCCTGACAGCTTTGTCTAGAACCACAGTACCTGGACAGTCAGATCCCCCTCTGCTTCCTGGGGCAGGCAGGAGTGTCACAAGTGGTGACTCTGGGGCTGCTGAACTGCACTGCACTGCAGGACTTCACTGGGAGGGGCTGGGGAAACTCCACAGCACGTTCCCAGCTCTCAGCCAGCGCTTCCTGAGTGCTGCTGAGTGTGATTTGGTGCAGCTCCAGACTCAGCTCTGCTGCAGACTTCAGAAGGAACCAGCACTTCATCTCCTACCCAAACGGGCACACCCACAACAGTTTATTCAAGGGATCTCCAGCAGACATCATTTACTTCACACGTTAAAAATAATGACACTTCTTTGGCCCAGACCTAGCTAGTCTATAAGTTAGAGAACTCTCACAAACACAGCAAAGGAGCAGTAGGACCCTCCCAGCAAAGAGACAATGAACGGGCTATCCTCCGTAGTGATTTTCACATTTGCATAGTTAAACATTTACATAATTGGATCCATAAGTATTACAAACATGATAAGTTACAACCAAGATCGAGACCTTTCAGATACTTGGAATTGCCTTGGTTTGTAAAGCAGCCCTGTTTGGGGGGGGGAAAAAAATGGAATCACAGGCTTATTTCATCAGTTTCTCAACTATCCCATGCTGAGAAGTTTGGGACCCTTGAGTCTGTGATTGACTCTCGCTGATTCCGTGGTGAGAGCACAGTTCTCTTCAGTCCTCCCGGAGGTAAGGGTCCTCACCCGCCTCCATGCCTCCAGAAACACCCTGTGGCAAGGACTCCTCTCCTTGAGCTTTGATGAGCTCTTCTGTTTGAGCTTCAGCTAACTTGGTCTCTGCTTTCTGGGACAGCTGTCGCACTTCTTGCACCTGGGACTTGACCAGCTGAATGTGGCTGCGGGCTGTCACCGAGGCCTGGTCTGCACCTGCAGAGCACCAGAGAGAGCCCTGGGGTCAGGAGCACTCCACAGACCTTCTGCTAAGGAAGTGATGGTCTAGAGTCATCATGGGCTGTGCTCAGTCTTTCAGTGGCTCCTGGGCTGTATTAATGCTAAATGTTTTACTGCTTGCTTACCTGAAACAATATGCCTACTTTGAAATACTTTTTTTCCCCCCTTGACTTCTTCCCACTCAGGAAGGTTACAGCCAGTGTCTGATCAGAGCAATCAGCTTGGGCTTTGAGAACTAAGTCCAGCCCAGTCATCTTGTGCCAGGAACTTTCAGTCCTTGTCCCATCCCAGCACCTACCAGCAGTAGGAATGTCTGTGGCACTGCCCAACTCAGAATCCCTTCTCCTCCCCCCGTGCTCCTACAGATTCTGGGTCTTTTTCAGGCACTTACAGTATGTCCCTGTCTACTCATCACTTTCCTCCCCTTCTCTGCTCCAGTAACTTTGCTTATTTACCTTAAGTCAGCCTATAACTCAATCTCAGAGCTATCACATCTCTACATGTTTTGTGAAAATGTTTATGTGGGCAGAAAAGACCAAAATTAGTATCTTTCCTGAGTGAAAGGCAAATATTCTCACTCTTTAATAAAAGTGAAGCCAACTAGAAAGACCTGCTGGACCCCAGTATCCAGCTGTGGCCTCCCCAGTGCTGAGTCCATGGGCACAATCACTTCCCTGCTCCCACTGGACACACTAGTTTTGATCCAGGCTAGGATGCTGGTGGCCCTCTTGGCCACCTGGGCACACTGCTGGCTCAACAGAACCCTGAGCACTCTAGAGAACTCTAGCTCTCACAACACTTCTACCAAACCTGTCACCAATAAAAGAATGTGTGTTCTCAGCATCCCTAAACACCAGGTGCTAGTTGTAAACTGGTGTGTTAATTTATGTTCTGTGTCTCTCTCGACTCTGCTCTCATTCCATTAAAGCTGCCTAAATGCCAGGGGGAGGAGGCTCTGGGTACTCCTGCTTGTGCCTACCTGACTGGTAAGCAGCTTCTGCTGCCATCTCTGAGAGGCGTAACGCTGTCATCCAGCTGGACTCCAGCCGTAGGTACTCCTGCTGTTTTGTTGTCATCTAGGAGCAAAACAAAGCAAAGCTTCACTTCATGTACCAGCATCTGAAGGCTCTGCCAACCAGTGGATGTGTGACAAGGTGAGGCAGCGAGAGGAGAACCTCCTGAGCAGAGTTTTTTGAGGCAGACCGATGGGAGATGATTGCTTACGTCAACTCTGGCTCCTATGACCACCTGCCAGACTGCATCCACCTCTTCTGAATTCATTTTCCCAAGCAGATTTGAGTATTGCTTGTAGAGAGACACCAGTGTATAAACTGCCTGCAAAGGAATCATTTCACACAGTTACGTGGCACTCTGGACATCTGATGCTGTCTTGCTGCTCGCTGGGGTTAGAACAATGGATGAAGCTTCCAAAGGTGCATTGTTCTCAAGTTCACTGCAATTCTGGAGGTGCTGACAGCATCTGCTGGTGCCTACAGCAGTGCTGGGGCAGAACATCTCTTTATATACTTGCAGTGCTTTTAAGGAAGTAAACTGGAACACAAATACTTCAATTAAATTGGCACTTATTTATAAAATTCAAAGTGTTTCAGGCTTCAGTATGGCTTACCCCATTCTTCTGATGAGACTCAATTTCATGGCCTTAGAAATGGGTACAGAAGGTATATAAAATAGCTAAGAGTACAGGGTGGCATATCCTACTTACTCAGGCTGCAGGTATCCAGTAACTGCTGGGAGTTTGTGGGACATTTCAGCTTAAGTTCAAAGCAGCAGGTTAACAATGCTACAAGTAACTTCTGTGTCCAGTGCAGTAAACAGCGAGCCCGGCCCCACTGTTCCCTAGGGGCCTCACCTCTTCAAGCCCCCCCACCTCTCTTTATTAATAAAGCCCATTTTAAGTGTGGTTTAGCAGGTGCAGTTGGTGCCACAGAGTTTAGCACTTCCAGCAGTGAGGTGTGTGATCTCTGATCTTACCTTCGTGTACTCTGTCAGGGCTTCAATCAGCGCGTAGGTGGTTTGAGAGAGGAGTGTGGATGTGCTGTCTGTTACCAGGGAAACTGCTCTTTTGATCAGGGCTTCGTTACTGAGGGACCCCGAGCTCTGCTTCTGCAAGAGAGGAGATGTGTGTGAGCTTTACACTGCCCTTTGTACGGGTGTAGTCACAGCTTCTGGCAGAGAAGAGAGGTGTGTGAGCTTTACACTGCCCTTCGTACGGGTGTTGCAGTCACAGCTAACAGTAGGAGAGTCACTGCTCTTGGTTATGAGGGTGGACAGCCTAATTCTGACTGTAAAACAAGACAACTGCTTCTGCCAGGTGCTACTGAAGGTAAGACATTGCCCCTCACAATATTCATCCTTTACTATATGCCTTAGACACCTGAGATCCCAAAAAGGAATAAAGTTCTGAGGCTAGGTACTAGTTTGTAAAACACTACGCAAGTGCTGTTGGATATTTATAGAATCATTAAGGTTGGAAAAGAGCTCTAAGATCATCAAGTCCAACCATCAACCCAACACTACCATGACCACTAAACCATGTCTCCAAGTGCATGATGACTCTTGGCTTGGTTGTAGGGCAATCTGATTTTATTCTTATGACAAACTTCTGGCTTTAGGCCACAGTTTGTGGTGAGATATGCCCCATAAATTGTTCAGCAAGACTCAGCACTCCACAACTGAAAGAAAACTCAAAAATCACATTTTTTTTCCTACAGCAGAACACGCCTCACTGTCAGGAAATGGAATCATTTTTCAAATCACGCTTTGTAAACAGTTCCTGCT